CAGTATGCAATGTAGACCAGAGGCAGCGCCACATCAGCATGCAATGCAGATCAGAGGCAGCGCCACATCAGCATGCAATGTAGACCAGAGGCAGCACAACCTCAGCATGCCTGGCACACAATGCAGAAAGCGCCTGCATGCTGTCGTCGTTGCCCATAGTGTCTACGTCCAGCCAACGTCTCGCCAGCGCCTGGTCGAAGTCAAGCCAGCGTCCAAGCAGCATAGCAAGACTGAATGTCAAACCCCCAAAGACCAGCTCCTAAATAGCATTTAACGAAGCAGTCTGGGCTCCGGTCCCTTCCCTTCAGTCGTCCAGATTGAATCACAGTCGACTCCCCCTTGGATCTGATGCTGTCTGGGTACCTGCATACAAACAAATGTGTCTCTGACCGTCGTCGTGGGCTGGGTACCTTTGGACTTTGACTGTTGGTGTCACGACACTTGACAAAAGTCAATTGTCACGCGCTCAGGCCCTGAATTCTCGTGTGCGGTCTTTTTCCCCCGTGTTGGCCTGAGCTGAGGGCGGCCAAGTAGGCCCTCATATTTCCCCAAGAAATATGGCATGGGTTATTGCATTCAAGTCTGCGAAGGAGGTCACCGAGAAGGTCGAGAAACTGCTAATGTTACCCGGAGTGAGGTATGACAAGCAGATCTTCTGAGGTGGTGCCTGCCAGAGACGATAAAAAGGGCTGCTTGTCCAGGAAGCCACCACCAATAGAAACGATTTCACCTCTCTGATCAAGAAGGGCGCCTGATTTAGAGGTCACGCTAAACAGCGCAAGTCACGGACCGATACATGGGAGAAGGAAGAAGTTGCCCCAGGACTGGAAGAAGAAAGGGGAACACCTCATGTATATAGATGCAGATGGCACTCAGACCGGGTTAAACCACCAGTTCACTGCTGTGCACTGTTCATCGATTGCAGTAACCTGCGAACGGGCTGGGCCGTTCGGCAGAGGGCTGGTAGAGCTTTGGGGCAAAGGACTGGTGGGCCTAAAAAATTAGAGTCGCCAGCCCACGAGGTGCAATGGATGGGCGGGGGCGAGATGTGAAAACAGCAAATACAGTCCTGCAGAAGGGCTAAAAAAAAGACGACAAAAAAAAGATCTCACGAAAAGAAACCAGAGAGGCCAGCCACAGCCACTTGGTGGGTGGGGGAGAAGTGTGTCGAAACGGCAAATAAAAGACAACGAGAGTACCAAAAAAAAAAAAAAAAAAAAAAAAAAAAAAAAAAAAAAAAAAGAAGAAGAAGACAACGAGGATACTCACACTCAGTCTGGCAATTCTCCTACTATGCTCTGGATGTGATTGCGGTCACGGTCACAATCATCTAAAAACCTGCAATCAGACTTGTACTCATTCACACTTTTCATGCATGTAAAAACCAACGCAGCAAACTGGCAGCATGCGCCCACTCAAAACTCAGAGATATAGCTTCCAGATACGAGTTCACTCTCAACTGGCTATG